GTGGCGGGGCTGGGGGCGCAGTGCCGGTGCTCCCGCCTCCCCTGGTGTTCCTCATCCCGCCGCCGCCCCGCCGTCCCCATGGAGGCCATCAAGAAAAAGATGCAGATGTTGAAACTGGACAAGGAGAACGCCATCGACCGTGCAGAGCAAGCGGAGGCCGACAAGAAGCAGGCGGAAGACCGCTGCAAGCAGGTTGGTGTCCCACGGGCTTTGCCAGCATTGCCCGGGGCCCCCCTTTAAGGGTGTCCAGACCCGGGGACCCCGTCTAGCTGGGTGTCTAGCCTGGGGATCCTGCACCTAGGGGTGCCCAGCCCTGGGGACTGGCACCTGCTGTGTGTCCAGCCTGGGGATTCCTGTCCTAGGGGTGTTCTGCCTTGGGGACCTTGCCTCACTGGGTGTCCAGCCATCAGATCCCAACTCTAAGGGTGCCCATCCCTTGTGATCTCAACCCACTGGGTGCCTGTACCTGGGGACCTTACCCTGCTGGGTGCCCATCCCCAGGGATCAGCAGTCCGGCATGTTGCCCCTGACTACTCACATCAGTTCCCCCCAAACATGCCCTGTCTGTGGGACACCCCAGTGCCACCTCCCTATCCCTCTGCCAGGGAGATCCTTGGGGATAGAGTACTCCCACTCTAGTCACAGAGATGGGAACCTTCTCGGTGCCCCTGGAGCTGTCCCCCCTAGTCAGGACCTTTTCAGTCCCTTGCACAGGGAGGGAGCTCACCACCCCCTTACCCTCACCAGGCTCAGGGATGCTGAAGGCTTCTCTGGCCCTGGGAACCAAGGGCTCCCTGAGGACGTGTGACCCCAAAGTCAACAGTGAGCATGTCTGCATGCTCCTGCTATGCCCCCAGCCTTGGCCACCTCAGGAGTAGGATGGCTATCCCCTACCCAGCCTTGTGGGAACTACCAGCCTCCTGACCCTCACCCTCTGTCCCTTCTCAAGCTGGAGGAGGAACAACAGGGCCTGCAGAAGAAGCTGAAGGGCACAGAGGATGAGGTGGAGAAGTACTCCGAGTCTGTCAAGGAGACCCAGGAAAAGCTGGAGCAGGCGGAGAAGAAAGCTACAGATGTATGTAGGCATGCCAGCAACTCCTCCCCTGTACCGGTGCCAGATGTGGGAGGGGGAGGGGGGATGCGAAGAAAGAGGAGAGCCTTATATGGAAGGTGTCTGGGGAAGACTGTCAGCATCCCATTCCTGGGATGCTGACACTGAACCCAGCTGAGATGCAGGGCAGGGACTGGCCAGATCCTTCTCAGGGTGCGGGGGCAGGGCAGGTTGTGACAGATACTGCTCAGTCAGCTCTGGAGCTTTGGGGGCAGCTGCATGCCTGGCTCCCCAAAGCTAACGGAGATGAGTGTCCCAAGCTGTGTCACGGGTCCCCAAGCACACGTGTCTGCGATGCTGACAGAAAACAGTCTGTGGTGCTTGATAAACTGTCAGGAAAGCAAAAAAAGAGCAGAAAAATGAAAAAAGCTCTTGCCTGTGGCCAACTGCCAAGAACTGGCTGTGAGGAAAGATGTTTGGGGTCTCAGGGGGTGAGCTTGGTCATTTTGGGGTCCAACGTGCCACCCTGTACCCTGGCAAGGGCAAGGCCAGGAAGAGTTTTATTTAGTGCTGTGACTGATGTTTCTCCTGGGAAATGGATCCTGTCTGGGAGATATTAGAAGAGTGTTGAAATTGGCTTGTGCCTGGCCAGGATGAAGGGTGGAACAGCTTTGTGCAGCCATGGGGCCACTCAGGAATGGGGTATACCGACCTGTGGTGCCACACAGGGTATTTGACACCCTACAAATAAATCCTCCTTTTGATAACCAGCCTTTTGATGAAAACCAACCCTGGAAGCTGAAGGAGAAGTTAAAGGGGAGATGACTGGACTGTGGCCAGCAGTGCATGGCCAGGCTTTTTAGGACTGATTGAGAACAAAAATTTCAGTCCCAGACAGTTTATGGAGCTAAATGGGGGAGATGTGTCAAATCTCTGAGGTGGCTGCCAAGGATAGGAGTGAGCAGACAAGGATCAGAAGTAGCAGCACATGTCCCCCAGGTGGCCCAGAGCCCCCAGGGAGCACCTGAGGGATTCCCCAGCATTATTTGCTGACCCTACAGACCTGCCCCAGTTTAGTTAGATGCTAAACCAAAGTAATTAAGACATTAAAGATCCTTTGGAAGGGCACCATTTATCTTGGCGTGGGGCAGACATGATAGGGTGGCTGTTGTGTGTAGCAGGGATTTGTACTGGTCTGACTGGATCCATGCTGATATGGGACAGGGCAATCTCAGTACAAGATCTGGCTAATGTGAGGGACTCAGAGGAAAGTGCAAATGGTGGCACAGGGCAGACGTTGACCACAAGGTGCGGAGCAGTTTGCTGATGACAACAGGCCATTTTAGGCAGGGAGGGTGAAGTTACTGCACTCCTGGTCCACAGTGGCTTGGCAAGTCTGTGGGCTTTGGCAAGGAGAGTCCTGTCCCAACAGATACGAGGAACATGAGCCACCAACCCCTTCAGGAAAGGGCTGAATGAGGAAAAGGAGCACTCTTTCAGTGTCAGGGAGGGCAGGCTGGCTGCAAATGGGTGTTACAGGCAGGGCTGGGAGCCCATTACTAGCACAGCTGCCCTGAGGCCATACTGAAACCTGGACAGGCTGTGCCATGTGCAGAGCACTGGAAATTACCAGGTGTCCATGCCAGAGACCTGAATGTGCTGACAGCAAAGTGCCAGGGCTGACGTTTCCTCCTCCCCAGGACAAGCCACAGTGTTGCTCCCAGCTCTTGCAAAGGAAGCGTGGGGTAGACCCCCAGAGCCCACCCACCTACCTCCCTGGGGACCATCGTGCTCCCCTTGGCTGCCAGGACAGTGTGTGCCTGTGAGCACAGAGCATCCCTATCTCTTGGCCAGGTCAGGGCCCATCACAGTGATCCAGGCAGGCTCCTGGTCTTGGCAAAAATGTCAACGAATGCCTTAAAAGAATAAATGTCCCCCTGCTCCAGCACTGCCCTGCCTCCGGCATGGGATGGCAGTGCAGGAAGCCCACAGGGACTGTGCTAAGGGGTGCAAATGCAACCTTCCCAGGCACTTGGAGGGGAGTCAGATGGTGGCACAAACTGGAGAGCACCTGTCCCTGAATTGGCAGCTCTATGGTGCTGGCAGCCCCTTCCCAGCAACTCTGTGAGGCCACCGTGGCCCCACTGCCTCCTTGTCCCCAGGAGGAATAGCCTGTGAGGCCCACGGCAGGATGCTGGCAAGGGACTGCTGCATATGGTGCAGCTAGGACAGCAGGTTTAGCCAGAGCAGCCCCCTCCAGCCCCCTGAATCCCCAGCTGGTGACCTGGCCCTGGCCCCAAAGGCTTCACCCAAGTTCCTGCCCTGTTTGCTCTCCCTGGCTGAGACTTTACTTTTATTTGGCGATTACTTGAGCCAGTGGGAGGAAACGGAGCTCTGCTGGGAAGTGACTGCATCCCTAGGTGGGGCCAGAGAAAGAGGCACCCAGCCCAGCAGGGTGGCTGTGCCTCAACTTACCTCCTTCCTGCCCACAGCCAGCTTGCCCCTGCTCCTTTGATGGTGGGGACCTTGCTTTCTACTCCAGGCCTGTGCACTGGCCTGGGAGCACTCTTGCCACCCAGGTATTGGGCTGGGAGTGGTGCAGGACCAGCAGGACTAAGGCCAAGCCCGAGGCCACTTGCTCCCAGGGGACCAGCAGCACTGCCTCTATCAGAGAGATGCAGGGCTGCAGGACTCTGCTGGCAGTGTGTCCAGGTACCCCCAGGCCCCCTGATCCTGGAGCCAAGGGCAGCCAGTGAGGTCAACCTGAGAACTGGCATCCCTGGAGGCAAGTGAGAAGTGCAGCCTATGCTGCCTGGGAGCTGTCAGAACTCTGTAAGGGAAAACTGAGTGCCAACAGTGCCAGCCCCTCCTGATGGATCATAGCATGTGCCCTGGCAAAGATGCAGAGCTGGGAGCTGGGAACTGGACTCCCCTATGGGGGAGAGCCCAAGGGCAGCTGGGGGATGCAGGGGGAACCATGGGCCCCTTGCAAGGCTGCCAGCCAGGTCCCTGCTTGGGGAAGCAGATGCCAAGGGGCTGAATGAGATGGGTGCTGGGGACATGGCTGTGCTCCACAGCTCCAGCCCCAGGTCCCCCAGGAGGATGCCTGGGAATGGGCTCTGCCCCAGGGCCCCTATGGGGTAAAAGCCCAAGACCTCTCCATCTCTGCAGTGTTATAAGTTACTTCTTTTCTTGAATTTTGAAGACAGCAAAAATACCTGCAGGACAAAGAAATATAGCAAGAGTTTTTTATTACAGTGCTGGGTACCCATTTTCAGCACTGGGTGCACCTCTGAATCATACAAAGAGCACACACTGTTGTTTGAAAACCGCGCTTTTTGTACCCTTAGATATCAGTTGTTGAATATTCATTCATTGTCCATTTGTTGCCTTAAAAGGTAATTTCCCTGCTTTGGAGGTGGGTGTTACCTTTTGGCTGGTTGTAACTTATCTCCCCGGGGCTCGTACAGGGGGGTCTTGCATCATCCCCACATTGCAAGGCATGGAGGGCCTCTCTTTGTATCCACATGGCACAGAGGAATACATTTTTATTTATAATTTGTTCCCTGTTCCTGGCTGCAAAAGATTCCCTGGTGTTAGGTCCAGACAGGACCCTTCACCTTACAGTCTCCACGGTACGCCTATAAGTTAGTAAATATACAGAAATAGTTCTTTTGTTAGTGCCCTTTCGCTTATTTTAATTTGCCTGGAATAAAACCGGTGTCTCTACTTATCACATGCATCATGGGTACATCGCTCCAGTGTCCAGGGGAGCTTGAAGGGGACAGGCTCTGGCATCCCCAGACTCCCTAGGCTCCTCTACATCATTCTGGGGGAACTTGATAGGACTGTGCACCCCTATCTGAGGGGTGCCCTGCTTGGAGGGGGAATATGTCCTGTATCCTGGGGGCATCATGCACCCTGCTTGAGGAGGGAGAACAGTGTACACTGCCCAGAAGCCACTGTGCATCTTGTCTGGGGGAGGGGGGGGGGGCGGGTAGGGACAGTAACCCCTGCCTGGGTAGGACCATGCTTCTTGCCCAGGAGGGCACACTATTTCCTATTTGGGGTGGGGAGGACTGTGGACCTCGCCAGATAGAAGACCGTCCCCTGCCGGTGGTGAGCACCCTGCCCAGGGGTCTGTGTACGCTGCCCGGGGGAGCGGTGGCCCAGGTCGGTCCATAGCAGGAGGAGGGGCAGGAGCAGGAGGAGCAGGAAGGAATGGAGGCAGGGCAGCGGGAGCAGCAGCTGCCTGAGTGCTTCCTGCCCGAGTTGGGCGGGTCCCATAAAGGGCTTGGCGGTGTGGCCTCCCCACTGGCAGCCCCCGCCATGGCAGGCATCAGCTCCATCGACGCCGTCAAGAAGAAGATCCAGAGCCTACAACAGGTGGCCGACGAGGCAGAGGAGCGCGCCGAACATCTGCAGCGGGAGGCCGATGCCGAGCGGCAGGCCCGGGAGCGGGTAAGGCGCAGGACTCGGGGGGCAGGGGGCATGGCGGGGCGGGGAGGGGGGCTCCGGCAGCTCCCCGGGATGCCCCCACCGGCTCCGACAATGCCGCCGGCATCCTCCCCCCCTGGCTGGCCCCGGCCGCCGCCCCCCTGCTCCGGTAGCCAGGCTGTCTGCCTCTGGGTGGGAGTTCAGAGAAGTCCCGGGGGAGCTGGACAGCGCTGCCATTCAGATACCACGGCAGCATCGCTGCCTCCCGACTGCCTGCTCCAGCTGCCTCCCTCATGGGTCGTTGGAGGGATACTTCGTGCGGTAGGGATGCCCAGGGCTTCTCCTGTTGGCGGGGCACCAGGGAGCAGCCAGCTCTGCCTTGGCTCTACTTGGGGTCAGGCACATCCTGGGAAAAGATCTCCTCCCTTGGAGGTCGGCTGTGTGCACGGCTAAAAATCCCACACCCAGACTCCTGCCTGGCTTCCAGCAGGCTCTGCGGCCTGGTCTGCAGTAGTCACAGAGCTTTTGGCTCTCTAGCATGTCCCTTTGTGGGGACGAACCACCCCTTTGCATGGGCCAACTTTGGCAGTGGGACGGCATTTCCAGGCTGCAGCTTGTTTCTGGTTTGGCTTTTTTACTGTTGTTGGAGCTTGTGAGTTTTTTTCTTTTTCTAATGCCCACTCCTTTAACATCCTCACCATGGGTTGCAGAGCTGGGTGCAGTACCTGGTCTGTTGACACTCTGTGTGCAGAGGAAATGGCCCCTTCCTGCAGCTGCAGATTGGGGTCACAGGGTCCTGCTGGAGAGCTCATGTTCCCAAGTGTCCTTCCGGGCAGCTCTGACTCACTTTGAGGATGAATGTCTAGGAAAAAAAAGCTCCTGCTGGAGTGAGGCAGATGCTGCAAGCAGAGCATTGTCCTGCCAGGGGCCAGTCCCAGCTCCTATACAGTTTGGCAGGGAATGAGCTCTCAGTGAGCCCAGAAAAGGGGTGTTCATGGGGTGGAGGCAGCTGTTGTGCCAACCTTGGCGCTAGCTGCCCACCCAGCACACTGCCAGGCTGACCCACTTGGACTGGTGCTAGCCGTGCCTGCCAGCTTGCCACAGGGACCATAGGTGCTCAGCAGGGCAGCCTCCTTGCTGCTTCCATGGCCCTTCTGCTTGGCCAATGTCACCCATGGGCATTTACAATTCTGGAACAGGAGGCTGGCCAATGTTGGGTGCTGCAGCCAGCTATGCCATCTCTAGCCTGTGAATAAGCAGGAGACATTATCCTGTGGTTGGTGCATGTCTCCCTGCCTTGTGGTGCATGGGGCTGCTCCCTGCAGCAGAGTCTCATTGCTGCTCATTTCTTTGCATCTGGGGTTTTAACTCCCCACAGCCCTTCTGGTGGGGAGCAGGGCCAAGAGCTGCTGAGGAAGCATTTCACAGTGGTGGTGATGGAGCAGGCAGGAGACCTTTACCAAATGGAAAGACTGTGGGGCCAGGTGTCAAAGGGCTGGCAGGGGCCAAGGCCACTGCTCCCAGCCAGCCCTGGCTCCTGGTCCCATGTGCAGGGAGCCTGGGAAAACAGGGAGCCCTGGTCTTTCAGGCCCCAGCAGCTGTGACTTGCCTGGGCTCCAGCCTGCTGAGGGCAACATGCTCCATTGCCCCCAGCGCCACACTGTACATCAGCCAGGGAAGGGGAGGGAGGGGGCAGGGGGTCTGTGCTCATCTTTGGGCTACCCTGTTGCACAGGGCTGGGGAGGGTGCCTCCAGAAGAGGCTCCCAACTCACTCTGCCACCTCTTTAAACAGGAAATCCACAAGTGGCTCCAATTTCCTTTTGTAAGTGAAGCTGTACAGGGCATTCCTCCCTGCTTACTGCTCCACAAACCCCAAATAGCATCCCCATGATGGTGCAGCTGCTCCAGCCACCCTACCCTGGTGAATGTGCATCATCCCTCTCCAAGGTGGGAGCTGGATGTGTGGGGGCGCTGCACGTGGTGGGCTAAGGTTGCAGGGCCAGGAGGAGCCAGCATCAGAGTGCTAGAGATGGAGGGAGCCCCATTGTCCCTATAGAAAGGAGCCCAGATGGGCTTGTTGAACAGTGTCAAGGGGTGTTTTGGATAGTGAATGCAAAAATAACTGCTGAAAATGCTTTTATATATAGTGAGACATATACGTCAAATGGAGTGATCAAGGCGTTTCTGCTCCCCCAGGCTGAGGCTGAAGTGGCTTCTCTGAATCGCCGTATCCAGCTGGTGGAGGAGGAGCTGGATCAAGCTCAAGAACGCCTGGGCACTGCCCTGCAGAAGCTGGAGGAAGCTGAAAAGGCAGCTGATGAGAGCGAAAGGTGTGACAGAGAGGGACAGCGAGGGTGGTCTCAGGTCACCCTTGATTGCAGGCAGCTCCCTTGGTTTTGCAGTGGGGTTTGGGGATCCCCCTCAAGTGATCTTATGGGATTTGCATTGGTTTTCCTGCAGACCCCAAAAGGAAAGAGCAAAGCCACAATGCAGAGAAGTCCCCCAGATATGGGCGTTCTTGGCACGCTTTGAAATTTCCATGGAACTCATAAAATCCTGAAAAATCTGATCTGGTGTTTATACAAATATCAGTCTATAACTGAAGCCAGAGGGTGCTTGGAGCCTGTTTTCTGTCCCAGAGCAGCCTCTTCTGCTCGAGAGTTGAGCAACGGCCCAGGAGGGGACTTCTATGCCTGGGAACTGTGGTTGACCTTTGAGAACAAACTAGTCTCATTCAAAAAGAAGTCCTGCAGAGTGTTTCCCCATCCTCACAGCAAGCAGATTTACCGGGCGGGAGCTATGCAGGCAAGGGCATCACAGCATTCATGGCAGTTACATGAACTCTCCCCTCCATTGGCAAAGACCAGTTTGAGCAGCAGCATCTGAGCGAGAGAAGAGTCTGCAGGAGTCCCTGTCAAAGGGGTTCATGTGGGTTTGGTGACCCCCTGCTTGTGAGCGTCATTCCTGAATGGGAAAAGGCTTTGTGACAGGATTTTTTCTAGCATTTCCTAAAGGTTGCTAGCCTGTCAGACTGCTTTTGTGGAGATTGTGACCAGTTCATCGTGGACTGCACATGATTTTATCCCCCTGAATGATGAGTTCAGGACCTGCCTGGTTGAGAGGCACCATGGCCACATCTTGGTCTGGAACACAGTCCTGGGGTGGCCTTGGGGTCAGGTCTGCTGCTTTATTTGTGCACAGGACCATCCTTGGCATTACCACTAGTGTGACCCTACTGTGTGAGGTGGCCAATGAGTGCCAGTGCCCCAAGTCTCTGGAACTGGAGGATGGCAGGGTTAGGGCACAGTGGATGGGAGGTGCAGGTGCCATCTTGATCCACAGCAGTAACATATTTTGGCTCGTGCTTTCCTCAGAGGTATGAAGGTCATTGAAAACAGGGCCATGAAGGATGAGGAGAAGATGGAGCTCCAGGAAATGCAGCTGAAGGAGGCGAAGCACATAGCAGAGGAGGCTGACCGCAAATACGAGGAGGTGCGTGCCCACATTCACATGTCCCCTTCCCCCAGTGCTGATTCCCTGGCAACACCCTGGGCTGCCTCCCCACAGCCCTGTGTCCCAAGCCAGGGCAAGTATGGGGCTGATGTGTGCCCCTTGCTGCTGTCGACAGGTCGCCCGCAAGCTGGTTGTCCTTGAGGGAGAGCTGGAGCGCTCAGAGGAGAGGGCAGAGGTAGCAGAGAGGTGAGTTGGGCTCCCATTGGGCAGCATGAAGAGGCCCCACGTGGCCCTTGCCCTGAGTCCCTAGCAGCTGGGGGTGGCCGTGTGTCTGTGTGGGAATGGGGATATCCTTTCCCAAGAACAGCAGGTTCTGCTGTCAGGGTGGTCCCTGGGCTCACAGACTGGGGGCAGGGGGATTCCAACCTGCACATCCTTGACCCTGTTCTCTGCTGCCCCCCCACCCTGGGGTGTTCCTCTTCTGCCCTAGTCGAGTGAGACAATTGGAAGAAGAGCTGCGGACCATGGACCAGACTCTCAAATCCCTCATTGCCTCAGAGGAAGAGGTACTGGGGCAAGGGTGCAGGGCTATCCACAGCAATCCCCTCTCTCTGTCACTGTCTCTTAAACTGTGTGAGCCACCTCTCCTCTCTGCACTACTGCCTCTGCCACAACCTCCCCTTGCCTCCTGCTCTGGCGGACGCATCCCTCTGTGCCTGCCCTCCTTCTAGGCAGGGCTGGTGAGAGCCCAGCTGGCAGTGATGCTCAGGGTGTCTGTGCAAGGAGGCATGAGGAACAGATGAATAAATACATCTCAGCAGCTTCTGCTCGCAGTGGCTCTGTTCCTTCTGCGCCTGCACTGCCTGAGTTTTCTCCTCCCTCAACTTGTTCTCTCTCTTTCTTTCCTCCTTCCCTACCCACTCTTTCTGCTCCTTCCTCTCACCTGCCCCTTGGCCCTGCTCCCCCTTCTGCTGGCCCTGCTTGGGATGTAGTAAATGTGGTGATCTAGAGAAGGAGCTGAAAATTGTCACCAACAACTTGAAGTCCCTTAGAGACCCAGGCTGACAAGGTAGGATCCAGAGGGGCTGCTGGGGCTGGGCAGAGGGTGCATGGTCTGGGGCTGCTGGGGTCCTCCACTGAAGTGAAGTATGGACGGAGGTGTCCTGTGGGGCTCATGGCTGCCCATCTGTCTCTGCAGTATTCCACCAAGGAGGACAAGTATGAGGAGGAAATCAAGCTTCTAGGCGAAAAGCTGAAGGAGGTAAGGGGTGTGGGGCTGGGACCCCCAAGAGAGGGGCTGGCACTGCATCAGTGCAGGCACGAGTTTGCCATCCCCTGTGGATTTTGACCCTGTTACACCCATGTCCTCTCACCCTTCCCCAAATTGTGGCCTTGCAACATGGAAGATGTCTGGGTCTGGGATGCCCCCATGGGATCCTGATACCCCAGAGAGGGGTCGTGGCCCATCTGAAGGACTGGTGTTTGCATCCCCAGGGAGCATAGTCCCATTGGAGTTGCATCCTGCAGCCTCATGCTGCACTCTGCTCCTCTGCTTGCCTCTGCCCTGTGTGGTGTCCTGCTCCCAGGACATGCGCTGGCAGGAGCTCATGCCCTGCACACACCAACTTCAAGCCATGTCTGTTTTGAAGTGATCAGTCCAGTGTTGGTTGCACACACAACCTATGAAGTGTGTGGGCTCCCATGATGCTTTTGGTGGTCAGGACAGACTGGGATCAACAGAAAGCCCAACATGGAGGCACTTTGCCCAGCTGACTCCTTTGAGGGCAAGTTCTCACCCCTGCTGTTAGTTTAGGGCATGGGGGTCCATGGGGCCTTTGTCTCTTGCCTTTCCCAGGGGAGGGCGCATGGGAAGTACAGGAGATGCAGATGAGGCAGATTTGGGGTGCAGTGAAGCATGCTCCATCCCTGTTGTACCCTGCAGCTTACCCTCTCTCCCCTGCACTCCCGTAGGCTGAGACCCGTGCGGAGTTTGCAGAGCGGTCTGTGGCGAAGCTGGAGAAAACCATCGATGATCTAGAAGGTAAAGCGTCCTCACTGTCCCTGTGTCGCTCTTTCCCAGGGAACACTGCCCAAGATGTGGCTCCAGCAGGGCCAGACAGGGCTTGGCCAGGGTGAGGGGCTGGGCAGGGGTCCTGGAAGCAGGGAGGCTGGATGCTGTGGTGTCCAGTGCAGGGGCACAGATATGCTGCAATCTGTGGCTCTGCCTTCAGGTGGGGAATAAGGCTTCATCTACATCACCTGTGTCCACATGCTCCTGCTGTCCTTGGCCCCCTGCTCACAGCCACCCTCTCTCTCTTTGCTGCCCATCCCCCCTCTACTGCCTGCCACCCACTCACCCCCTGCCTGCCTGCAGATGAAGTGTATGCGCAGAAGATGAAGTACAAATCCATCAGCAAGGAGCTGGACAATGCACTTAATGACATCACCTCCCTCTGAGCCCCCCACTGGGTGCTAGCACCGCACCCCCTCCCCTGCTCAGCCACTTGCCTGCCTGGCCATCCCACCTTTCTCTCTCCCTGCCTGCTCTGTCCCCTCTGTCCTTCCCAGACCATGCCTGTCCATCATCTACTTTGGGAAAAGAGCCAAGCCAGGTTGTTCTCACAATACCCCTCTCTGTGGGGAGACAAGGTGTAAGTGTTTAGGGGTGTTTGGCTGGGAAGGGGAACAGCAGCCAGGACCCCCTCATGCTAGGTTTGGTGCCCATGCAATTGCAGGTTCGTGCCACAGCATTACCTGGCAGGAAACAGCTGTGCCTAGGAGTCCTTTGCTTCAGCAGCTCCCTCCTCAGCTCCCTGGTAGCATAAGCACCAGGGGACATCTGCCCCCCACATTCCTCCAGCAAAGCCCCCTGGTTCTGCTTGCTGAGCCCAGGGCGGTGTGGGGGGGTACCTGCACAGGGAAAGTGGCACCTCCACCACCAAAACAGATGAAGGCTTAGGCCCACAGGACGGAGGGGAGAGGTAGGTTGTGCAGGCAGCCTGTCCCCAGGCAGACAGTCCCCAGGCCCCTGCTCATCCCTTTCCTCTGCCTCCCTTCTATCCTTTGCACATCGCTGTTCAGTTTACATTTCATGACTTTTTTTTTTTGTTCTGTCCCCCTGAGTTGGTCTCAATAAAGCATTTTCTTTCCTCCATTTCTCCTTTGTTTTCTTCATGCGACTCTGTCCCTCATCTGCCTGTTTCATGCAAGTGCTGGCAGCTGGGTGGTAGGAGGTGGTTGCAGACAGCTGGCAGCTGGGTGGTAGGAGGTGGTTGCAGGCAGCTGGCAGCTGCAGGACCCCTGGAACAGCCCTGGCTGAACCCTGAGCAGCTCCCATGCTGCCAGGCTGAGTGGGACAGGGCCCTTTGTGCCTCCACCCAGGGGATGATCCCCACCACCCCCTGGCTCTCTGACACAGCTTTCCTCATCTCATGCCATCTTCTTTATGACTCTTTTGACATGAAATATCAAGGTTAGACCTGGTCCTGTCCATTTTCTGTCCTCACTCCTGGACATTGCCTACAAGCAGCAGTCCCTGGCATCATTCTTTCATCACCCTCCCACACCAAAGGGGCTAACCCTACCTTTCAGCAGTGATCCCTGGCCCTAAATGAGACCCTGATCCTCATTCTCCTTCCTCAGCATTCTACCCTGCCCCACAGCTCTGTCCCTGAATTGATGGACCCACGGCCCTGTTCCTGCCCAAAGACTGGCTGCCTCTTCCTGCTGGCCCAGCTCATTCCCAGTTGCTGTCTGGGAAGCAGCAGGGTTTCCAGCAAGGACTTTGTGGAATTCTGTCTCTTTTGACTAACTTGTCTTTCTTTCTTCCCTCTGCTACACTTACCTCTCCTTTTGTTTAGAACATTCCCATCAGGAGGCCAAGAAAAACCACATTCTCACTAAAAAGCTGCAAGTCATCCTTACTGAACTTAAAAACTGAGCTGTTGACAACTCCCAGCCCAGCCCAGCCCAGCCCAGCCAGACTCCCGCACCCAGGCTGCCACCCCCACTCCCTGCCCTATGCCAGGCTGGCTCGAGGATGGGAGTGCTTCCCCACTCCCTGCTGGGGTTAGGAAGTGCATTGGAGCCTTGGCTTATCCCCCTGGGGGTAACTGACCTGCTTGGGGGGGTTGGGGAGTCCTCTGAAGCTGATCAGTTTTTCTTGGGAGGGAGGGAAACGAGGGGTTTTATGATGTCCTGGGATACCTATGCAGTGATGGCTATCCCCCAGAATTGGTCTAACCCTGCCAGGGAGGGATGAGGTAGCTTGTATCGATGCCTTCCTTCCCTTGTCCCAGGGAATGTCAGCCAGCCTCTTCTTTCCCCTCACTCTGGTCATCCCAGACTATGCATGGAGGATCCCTGCAGAATAGGGTCCCTGCAGGGTACTGAGGGCTGGGAAAGGAGCTGAGGACCTGGTAGCACCCATTACTCCAAACCTGAGATAGGGAAGAGCCTGGCCAGGAGCTCTGGGAGACAGGGCTGTGTGGGCAGAGCTCTCATCCCATTCCTATCTCCAGAGGGAAGGAGAATGCTGTTTGGAAGTGAGTGCAGTAGGAGGCTGCCTTGGCAGCCAGGTTGTCCAGCAGAACTCATCCTTGAAGTCTTAGCTTTGTTCCTTCTCTCTCTGCTGTTCTCTCTGTTCACCTTCCCAGGCTGCTGCCTCACTGTCTTCTTGACAAAGCACCTCTGGGTCATGCAGCAGGTACTGGCTCTCTGCTTTTGCGGGCTGAGGGTTTGTGTGTGAGCCCACAGCCAAATGGTGCTGATGCTGGGGAAGAATGTGCAGTGAGCATAGCAGGGAGATGGGGCCGTACTGGTGGCTGGCTGGGGAAGGGGTATCTATCAGTGGTATCCATGCTGTGGAGGGCCTGGCTATGAGCAATGAGGTGCCATGGGAGGATGGAAATGCCAAAGAGTGGGGACCATCCACCCTGAGTGACTGGCCCGGCTGGCCTGGCTGCCTTGGTAGGTCCCAGAGTGGCTAGACATCCTTGCCAGTGGTGGGGCTGCATGCACCACAGGGACAACCCGTGTGGCTGGAGGCTGGTGCCATACTGAAATGTCTGTTTGTGTGTGTCTGTGCTTAGTGTGGTGTGTGTGGGTCTGACTGTGCCTGAGTATGCTCTGGTTGTGTCCCTTGTGTTCACAGAGAGTCTGGCCAGTGCAAAAGAGGAGAACGTGGGCATTCACCAGGTCCTGGATCAGACCTTGTTGGAGCTGAACAACCTCTGAGCTGCCCTGGGGAGCCCCTGTCCCTCTTCCCTACCCCACATGTGCACCCCACTGGCATGCTCAGGATGTCATCAGCTGAACTGCGTCTTGGCCAAATCCACACATCCACTGAGAAGGGAAGCCCTGCAGCCTTACACCATGGCTCAGGGGTGTCTTCTCTGTGCACAGCCTGACTGGCTCTGTCCTGTCTTCATGTCCAAATATTAAAGTAGTTTGACAAGATGGATGGCTGTGCTTGGTCCTTGCAGGAGGGCATAGGCACTAGGAGATGTGGTGGGGGTCTCTCTGCCCAGTTCTTGCAAGGAGGCTCTACAGGGTCTTGGGTCCAGAGCGGGATATGGCCAGCATAAGAATGTCCTCCACAGCTGTGGAGGGTTGGGAGCAATAATGCACGTGGTTTGGGCTACGTTCCCATGTCTCCATCGCCTCCTTGTGATGCACTGAAAACCTCCAAACTCAGTCCAAAGTGGCCATCCTCTTCAAGTGCACAATGATAAAGATATGTCACTGACGTGTCCCCTTCCACATCTGGCATGCTACCTGCTTCTGATCCTCAATAATCCTGGCTCCAAAACCCTAATGGTCAACCCTGGGTTTCTCCTGATGTTCTTTGCCAGTTGAGACCATGCTCTCCAGCTGCAGTGTAGAGGATATTTTGCACGTTTGGTCCTGTCCAAACAGGCCCAAGAGCTACCGCATGGGCTATCTCCTGTTTGATCTGCTCAAAGGCCTGTTGTTGCTCAAGGCCCCACTCAAAATGGTTTTTCTTCTGTGTCACTCAATAGAGGGGGCTCACAAGCTGACTATAACCTGGAACGTGCATCCTCCAGAACCTCAAAAGGCCTAGGAAAGCTTGTGCTTCCTTCTTGTTAGTCATTGGAGACATAGAGGCTATTTTGTTCACCATATCCATGGGCACGTAAGGGTGTCCATCCTGCCATTTTATTCCCAAGAACTGGATCTCCCATGAGGGTCCCTTTACCTTACTTTGTTTTATGGCAAAACCAGCTTTCAGAAGAATTTGGCTTATTTTCCTCCCTTTCTCAAAAACTTCTGCTGTCTTGCCCCACACTGATATCATCAATATATTGCAGGTGTTCTGGAGCTCCCCCCTGTTCCAGTGCAGTCTAGATCAGTCCATGGCAGATGGTTGGACTGTGTTTGCACCCCTGGGGCAGTCATTTCTAAATATACTGGACACCCCCTAAGTGAAGGCGAACTGTGGCCTGCGCTCTGTTGCCAGAGGGGTTGAGAAAAATGCATTAGTGATATAAGTTGTGGCACCACTTGGCTTCTTTTGACTCCTGCTCATATTGAAGTTCCAACATGTCTGGCACAGCAGCACTCAGAGGTGGTGTGACTTCATTCAGGCCACGATAGTCCACTGTCAGCCTCCACTCCCCATTAGACTTCCACACTGGCCATATGGGGCTGTTAAAGGGTGAGTGGGTCCTGCTGATCACTCCTTGTTTCTCCAGTTGATGAATTAGCTCATGAATGGGAATTATGGAATCTCGGTTGGTGCGATAATGCTGTTGGTGCACTGTTCTGATAGCAATTGGCACTTGTTGGTCTTCAACTTGCAGCAATCCCACAATGAAGGGATCTTCTGAGAGGCCAGACAGATTAGATTATTGTTTGATTTTCTCTGTATCCACAGTAGCTACATAACAGGGTTTGAGGGAGATATGGTCTCCGCTGTCCGTCTCTCAGGGACGGAATCAGGTTGAAGCAAGCCCAGTGCAGAGTAACACATGGCACGCAGGCAATCCTGTAGCAAAGAGGCTTTATTCAAGTTTCCCGCAGCTTATAAGTCTGCTGGGAGGAAGGGAGGGGCTTGGCCACTTGGTTAGCCAACGGGAGGAGACAGGAGATTAAGACCCAATAAGAACTCAGGGACTGGAGGGAGACAAGTGGGACAACCAATGGGGTTAGAACAGGGGCAGGGGCTGGCTCAGTGAACAGGATCAAGATGGAGCCACCCAGGGAAGCCACGTGGGGGGTGAATGAGATTTTACACAGCATAGGGAGTTCCCGTACAATAAAACTGCGATGCCTGAGTTTAAACTGTAAGTGTTTTTCTGTGTTGACTTCGGGAAACTGCATCTGCATTGGTTTTTCCTCTAAAGATGTTGTTTCCAAAGTTTGTAGTCTGAGCTGTCTCTCACAGCTACACCAAAAGCCCATTGATACCCCTTGGGATCTTTGAAGTATTCCCTCCTGAGGTAATCAATGCCAAGGATACAAGGGGCCTC